CCCTCCCTCCCTCCTTCCCTCCCTCTCTTTCTCTTTGTTTCTTTTTTTTTCTCCCCAAGAAAGGGTTTCTCTGTGTAACCCTGACTGTCACAGAACTTGCCCTGTAGACCAGGCTGGCCTTGAACTCACAGTAATCCTCCTGCCTCCATATTCATCCTTTCTATAGTTCTGTCACAAGTCTATTTAGAGCAACAGTCATTGGAATTACTGCCTGAGTAAAGAAAATAAAGAACTCTGAGACTTTTCTCACATGGGAAAGGCTCTTTCTTAGTCCGTCATTAAACTTAAGTCATTTGACGGGACGGTGGCTTTTAAAGCATTTCTTGCTTGCTTTCTGCCTTGTGGTGCTGACATTAAGAAGCCCAGTGCCGTGTTCATGTCTGATTTCTCTTGCACTCTGGAGGGTTTTAGGGTTCCCTGTCCATGCCCTCCCCACCCCATCTCGTTACTAGTTTATCACCTGGTTGTTTCCAGGTTTTAATTTCTTCTTATTCAAGAAACTGAATAAGGGCATACACAGATTGCAGTCTCAAAGAAACTTTGTTCCGGGCCAAAGTGATAATACCGAGGAGAATAAATAGAAGTACAGGAAAGCAAGCAGCGGCCCCACGAGTGAGAGAATGCTCGCAGGCCGCAGGCTATTGCCTGAGACTTCGCTTATAGGGTCTAAGGCAAAGAGGGACTTGCTACTAAGGGGCGTAATATGGGCAACTCTCTATTTCGATTGACAAATTTGAGTTACAAATCTTTACTGCCTATATTCCTTCCCACAATGCACCTGATTTTCATCCTATGAATACCCAAGTATAAATAGGTGTGAGATGGGAAATAGCAGGACCAGCGAGATAACTCAGTGGGTAAAGGCACTTGCTGGCAAGTCTGATGAACTGAGTTCAATCCCTGGGACCCACATGACAGAAGGAGAGAACCAACTACTATAAATTGTCCTCTAACCTCCACATGCATGCTCTGGTGTGTCCCCCCTTTTTATAGTGTATTACCTTTTTAATTGAAAAAGAATTAAAGATGGCAAATGGAGTTTTTTTCCTTAAAAGCTCACTTAGAGGACATAATTTGCCTTGTTGGCCATGTACCACCAAAACAAATTTGTGCTGGGTTGGCCCCCCCTACCCTTCTACAGAATATATAACTGGGAATGCATTTGAATACAAACTATCCATATTTAACTGCTGTCAGGAAAGAGAAACTTGCGTATTATTTGGAGGAGGGTGCATGAACAACTTGATACAGATGGGAGTCCTGGGTTACCTACAGGTTGCTAGGTGCATTGTTAGGAAAAGGTGTGCATGGCCCATACCAAGTGGAGTCATTCCCACACTGGTCCGTCTTGCCTAGTTGATGACATTTATTGATATATTTACTTTTAATCATTTTTCTGGGCATTTGGTAGGATCTCATAAGAAAATTTTTATTCTCAATTTTCCTCTTCTTTCCTTCTGGCTCTTTAGAGTTTTTTTATAATTTAAATATAAATTTATATTTGTTGTATTTTGAATTTTTTAGGGTTTTATTTGGTTCTGAACATTTCTTTTTAAAATTTATTTGTTTGCTTATTTTAATAGCATAGCTGGGTGTGTAGTGTAGATGGAAGTTTCTGTCCTGCTCGGTCCTGCAGCCATTCAGTCCCAAATAAACACACAGAGGCTTATATTAATCATAAGCTGTTTGGTCTGTTAGCTCAGGCTTATTATTAACAAGCTCTTACAGTTTCAATTAACCCATAACTCTTGTCTATGTTTAGCCACTGGTTTGGTGCATTTTTCTCAGTGAGATATTCTCACCTTGTTTCCTCTGCATAGACTGGTGACTGCATCTCTTTGCCTTTCCTCTTCCTAGAATTCTCATAGTATGGTCACCCTGCCTATATACTGGACAATCAGCATTTTATTAAACTAATACGAATGACAAATCATTACAGTGTACAAGAACATTATCCCACAGCAGTGTAGTATAGTCTATAGGCTGAGGTAGGGATAATATTCCAAATTGGAGTTGGTTTGGGATAGTCTTAGTTAGAGTTTCTATTACTGTGAGGAGATACCATGATCACAACAACTCTTTGTTTGTTTGTTTTTCGAGGTAGGGTTTCTCTATGTAACAGTTCTGGCTGCCCTGGAACTCAGTAGACCAGGCTGGCCTTGAACTCACTGAGATCCACCTGCCTCTGCCTCCCAGGAACTGGGAATACAGTGATGCACCACCACTGCCCAGTTTATGGAAGGCAACTCTTACAAAGGAAAACATTTAATTGGGGTGGCAGCTTACAGTTTCAGAGGTTTAGTCCATTAGCATCATGGTGGGATATGGCAGCGTGCAGTCAGACATGGTGCTGAAGGAGCCAAGAGTCTCCCCCCCCATTTACTAACCCTGGAGAGGACTCAAGGGTTGCCTGTTGGTCCGGAGAGTTTAGCAGAGGAACCAGAGGCTGATGGAAGCCAGTACAGAACAGGACCCTGAAAGCAGCAAATAAACTTCAAGTCTATGTCCATAGCAACTGCTGAGGCCGCCAGCTCTACTCCCTACTCAGCAGAAGTCTCTTGCTCTCTCTTTTTAAATTTATTTCTTTTTATTTTATGTATATTGGTGGGTTTTGTTTTGTTTTGTTATAAACTGATTGGCCCCTTAGCTCAGGCTTCTTATTTACTAATTCTTATAACCTATATTAGCCCATAATTCTTGTCTATGTTAGCCACGTGGCTTGGTACCTTTTTCAGCAAGGCAGTCACATCTTTTTTCCTCTGAGGCTGGGTCACGACTGCAGACTGTATATTGCTGCTTTGCCTACACGTATATCTATATCAGGTCACTTAGAACTGGAGTTGCAGACATTTGTGAGCCATCATGTGGGTGCTGGGAATTGAACCCCCGTCTTCTGGAAGAGCAGTCCGTGCTCTTAACCTCCGAGTTCTCTCTCCAGTCCAGAAACCAAGCCTCTTATTCGGTTTCGAGGCAGTCAAGGATTGCACTGAACTTCTCATCCTTCAGTATGGAACTTCTGGAGTGCTGGAATTACAGGTGTTGGCATAGATTTTGTACTTCTAGCAGGATCCCAGTCTTTACTTCACCTGCAGAGCTGTCTGGAGTTCTTGACCCCTTGAAAGATTTAGAGGGTTTGATATACTTGTCTTTAGCTCACCACCTTGCTAAGAATTTTCAAATTTTTATTGTGAAATCTCATATGTATACAGAAAACCATATAAAACAGATATATAGCATAATGTGGAGCATGCCCATAATCCCAGTACTTGAGAGGCGTAGACAGAAAACTCAGGAGTTCAAGGCCAGCTTTGACTATACAGAGGGTTCAAAGCCAACCTGGGCTACATTAATTTAAGTCTGTTTTTTTTTTAAAGATATACACACACATATGTAAAAAAATAAACAAAAAGGGTGAGACTGCAACAAAATATTTCATCTCTCTGTCTATATCTATATATATCCATCCATCCATCTGTCCGTTCAGCCATTCATTTGTGGCTTCAGGGCATGAAAATTGGGCCTCATGTATTGCATGTAAACTTTCTACCAGTGTGTCCCCCAGACTCCCAAAGAATTTTAAATATCAAGAAGAGGTAAGGCAGAGCTTTGGTGAATGAATGACAATGAGAATACCTAATCTTACCTTTGGATAATCTTTAAATATGACTGCGGTTTCCAGCTGCATGGAGCATGAGCATGGCATCTGAATATACATCATGTGTCGTGCCAGCACATCCATGTGGATTACATCATGAGCATGGCATCTGAATATACATCATGTGTCGTGCCAGCACATCCATGTGGATTACATCATGAGCATGGCATCTGAATACATGTCATGTGTTGTGCCAGCACATCCTTGTGGATTACATCATGGGTGCCCAAGACAGAAATGCTCTGGCTTTAATTTTTCCAGCATATCCTGGGGTACATTTTACTGTTTTTATTGAAATATCAATATTGGTTTTACAGTAGTTCAAAACATCAGAGAGTTTCTGGATTATTTTACAGTTTGAGAGTGACTGTGCCCCAGTCTGACAGGGTGATAATAAGCACAGCTTGTACGGTTTCCTGTCTCTAACTTCCATTTCAGAATTAGGAAGTATTGTGTTTGCCATTTGGTGGAGTTTCACACTGAGTTTGGTTTTTTTTTTCTTTTTAAATCATTTGAAAAAAAAACTGGTGTCTGACACAGAGAGAAGGAGAGAGACTGGCTCTGATTGCGACATTTAAGAGTGAGAAACTGAAAATGAATGTAAACTCTTGATTCAGGAAGCTCTCATGGATGGCAAGAAAGTAAATCATTGTGTGTTATAGCAGCTGGGAGAAAGCAGTGAAACCGCTGTGTGCTTTGTTTCCAGAGATGGAAACTTTCCAAGTAAAACCCAAAAGTCTCCCCCTTCCCCCACAATGCTTTGGTTCCTGCCAGCTCCGTTCCGTTTTCTTCCCCCAAGGAATACCAGGTATCGCCTCTGTCAGAAAGCCTCGTAGAACAGTTCAGAAACTTGGTTGTGATGGACATGCCAGGGGAGGCCGTCTGTCCTTCCTTTCTTTGCAGAATGTGTGCTTAGGATATGTTCCAACCATTTCAATGCTGTTTCTCTTTTCTCTGTAGGAACTGCAGTTGGAACATGCAAGGCAAGCCTTTGCGCTCAAAGACAAGAGCAAGAGTGGCGTGATCTCAGGTCTGGATTTCAGTGACGTCATGGTCACCATTCGGTCCCACATGCTCACTCCTTTTGTGGAGGAGAATTTAGTTTCAGTAAGTAAGAAGACAGGCTTTCACTTCCCATTTCATGAACTGCTTTGAACCTCAGGTTCTGGATACCTCCTTATGTCCACATGGCTCTTAACTAACCAGGCTTTATGTTTAGGTGGCAGAAGTTTAAAGAATGTTTGTGTGTGTGTGTGTGTGTGGTGTGTGTCTGTGTGTGTGTGTGTGTGTGTGTGTGTGTGTGTGTGTAGTAAGATGAGTGGTCTTTTCTCAGTTTCTAATTTCATCCAGAGCTACCATCTTGCTCTCATGTATTTCCAAACTGTTGATTTCCGTTTACAGTGTTCAGTCTAAGGGACATGAGAGTTTGTAGACAACAGACTGTGATCACTGTATTTCAGTGCACCCGTGCCTTCATCTTGGCTTCTGTCACCTCCCGCCCCAAGCTCCGGCAGCCTAGTTAGGACGCTCCTTCCTCTGTGTGCTGGAGAGGTGGTCACTGGTTCATGTCAGAAGGCCTGGAGGAAGCATGGGGCCACCAGCCTCTGGAGTCATTGCTCTCTGCCCCTTCACCTGCATTCCGAGTGTGCGTCCCAGACACAGGTCTTTTGTTCTGTCAAAATGGGGACCCACAGCCAATTCATGCCACTCACTTCCTTACGCGGGGTGAAACTCTCCTCACTCACGTGTTTCTTTGTACACACTGTGTTGTGTGGATGTTTTTGATTACTGCTTCTTTGGGATGGAGGAAAGCCAATGGGTCCTTCTGTTGTTTCAGCTGAAGACCATTATCCCCGACTTAGACTGGGGTAGAAAGATCAACTTCTGGTCTTTCTCCTTGGTGGATTTGAACATGGAGCCTGTCACTCTCCCCTCCACATGTCACCTCCCTGACAACCCACCCCCCCTTTTGTACCCTCACCTCATACCACAACCAAAGATGAAAGGAAGGGCCCAGAAGGAATCAGGGAGGGAAGGAGAGAAGAAAGGAAGAAAATTCAGAAGGAAACATTCGCTCAGCATAAAAATACAAAATCCATTTTGTATTTTCCAACTTGGCTACATGGTTGTTGCCTCAGTTTACCAAAATACGGTCACAACCCTCAGAGGAAAATATTAAGGAATCTGAATCCTGCATTTGGTATCCAGATTGACATTAATAAAAATAAAATCTATATGAGGGCGGGCAGAGACATTTGTCCATTGTTGCCTATATGTATAAGGTGGAGGATTTAAATGTCAAAGAGAAACCAGAGCATCACACTATTTGTGATCGACTTTTCTGACTGGGGTTGTGACCTTGATGTTTCTATCAGTATTTCTGTGAGTTTTAGATACTGACAATTTTCCAGCCCCTCTGCCTTGTTTCTGTTTGTTTGCTTGTTTGTTTGTTTTGAGACAGGGTTTCTCTGTAGCTTTGGAGCCTGGAGCCTGTCCTGGAACTAGCTCTTGTCGACCAGGCTGGTCTTGCATAAACTCACAGAGATCCTCCTGCCTCTGCCTCACAGTGCTGGGGTTAAAGGCATGTGCTACCACCGCCTGGCCCCCTTCCACCTTGTAACTTTGAAGTTAGACTTTTAGAAACGGAACAAACAAACCAAGAAGCAAAACAACACAAAATCCTTCTCTTTTGAGGCTATACCTGAATGATGGGCAAAGGGAGAAGTTTCTCGGCCTTCAGAGATAATGAAGGCCATTACCTGCTATGCTGAGCTTTGTGACCTGGAAGCCCTAAGGATGTAACTTAAGAGTGAACCCTTGCCAGAACTTCTGTACATTGGGGCGCTTTGGGGAGTTGTAGTTTGCATGATGCAGGATCAGAGAGCCACACAAACTAGGTATCTTTTGTTTTGTTTTGTGAGACAGGATTTCCATGTGTAACCCTGGCTGTCCTGGAACTCACTTTGTACACCAGGCTTGCCTTGAACCCAGATATCTGCCCGCCTCTGGCTCCAGGTACTGAAATTAAAGGCATTCATCACCACCTGATGCAAACTAGGTATCTTAAGAGTAACAATAGCTTTTAAAAAACTGAGAAAAGTTGATGTCATGAAATGGTCTCAGGGCTGGAGAGATGGCTCAGTGGTTAAGAACACTGCTCTTCCAGAGAACTTGGATTCAATTAGCAACCACATGGTGGCTCACAACCATCTGTAACTCCAGTTCCAGGAAGCTGGATGCCCTCCTTTGGTTTTCTCTGGCACAAGGCACACAAGTGGTGTATCACACACATGTAGTCAAAATACCAGTATACATAAAATAAATTTTAAATGGTCTTAAAATTTAAGGTTGCTAAGACTGGAGGGGTGGCTTAGTGGTAGTGTCCATAGTAAGTTTAGAGGAGGCCTTGGCTTCAATCTGCAGCATGAAAAAAAAATAAAGTTGTGTTTTTGTGTATGCACAGGGGAAAAATAAATATTTTAGGAAATATTCCTTATATTATCCATTGATATTTTTCCAGGACCAGCAGGCATTGCATAGTTGGGGTCTAAAAGAATCCTGTTTAAATAGCCAGGTTTTGATCTGCAGTAATTGTATTTGTTGTTTCTGACCTTAGCGGTGGATGAACCACGAACTCCAACTTCCAGATGTTGCTTTCTTCTTTAAAATCTAAATTGCATAGGCTTCCCTGAGGGTGCAAAGTGCACCGTGTCTTAGTCATGTATTTATAGGCTGGTAGTTAATTGTTTTAATGACGGAGACTCCTTCGGGTCCACTTTGAGAGAAAGAATGAATGCAGAGTCCCAACCACGTTTCTTACATTTGTGTTTTCAATGTTTCGTTTCCTAGGCTGCTGGAGGAGGCACGTCACACCAAGTTAGCTTCTCCTACTTCAACGCGTTTAACTCCTTACTCAACAACATGGAGCTTGTTCGTAAGATCTACAGCACTTTAGCGGGCACGAGGAAAGATATCGAAGTCACAAAGGGTAAGATTTAAAAATTGACTGCCTTCTTTGAATCGGTGCTTTTCATCAGATAGACGTGGGGACAGTCTAAGTCTGCCGCAGGACAACCGGAAAGTCAGTTGCCACACACACACACACACACACACACACGTGTGTGTGTGTGTGTGTGTGTGTGTCTGTGTGTGTGTGTGTTTCACCCACACTCATGCTTCACACGGGCCTCGAACCCCAGGTGCCTTTAATGAGATGCTGAGGCCGGAATGCTAAAGTGCCTTTGACAGTTTTGAAAAGAGCCTTGGCCCGATCTGTCAAACAGGTCAGTGGCAGTGTGGCAGCAGCTTGTTTGTACTGGGAGCGAGTTGCCACCGAGAGGAGCAAGCCTGCTCTCTTTGGGTGGGTGACGACAGGATGTTTTGGGAGACCTGAGAACAGCCACCTTTATCCCGTGACTCTGGAGACCAGAGTGAGTAAGCAAGGGAAGTGAGAGCTAGAATGTCTTGGCGTTGTCATCGGAGCTGGTCTATCTGTTCTGCAACGTCATTGGTTTTCAGGAATGCAGTTATAAGCAGAACTTGTATTTAAATTCAGTTTTAGATGTTCAGAAAAGTGCTAAAATTCTTTTGCTTTCCGGTTATATTAGGCTCTTGAGATACTGACCTTTGTTTCTTTCTCTTCCAGAGGAATTTGCCCAGAGCGCCATACGCTATGGACAAGTTACTCCGCTAGAAATTGATATCCTGTACCAGCTTGCAGACCTATATAACGCTTCCGGGTAAATCGTCCTGTCTTGCATGGTGTTCAGGAAGTGGGGACTTTTTAGATTTGACATATACCTTTCCTTTTACCAGCGGTCCTTTCAGCGTATAGATTCTTAGCAAGAGAAATAGAAGGAGAGAGAGAGACAGAGACAGAGACAGAGAGAGAGAGAGAGAGAGAGGAGGGACAGAGGGAGTGGGGAGCAAGGGGGCAGAAGCAAAGAGAGAATGGATTGAAGCAAAGAGCCAAGCAGAGTGGAGAATTAAAAAAAGAGGTTAGGGGTGAGGGGAAGAGGGAGAAGGAAGAAAAATGAGTAGGGTAGTGAGTTAGAGAGAGGATTTAATGTAGCCTTTCTCAAAGTGTTCTGAATTTAAAGAGGTTTGCAGGAATTTGCTTAAGTCTGTAAATTCATGGAAATCAGCTGAGTACATGGAAGAATGTTGCATTGAGGAACGGTGTTTCCTTTGTGATTGCCACAAACACTCATTTTCTGAAGAGTGTGTACCCAGTTTGTGTTGGAGAGTATTATTTTCTTAAGATGTGCCTCATAAATGATCACGCTTCCCCCAGAGGCAAGCTCAGATGTTCATGCTTTTGCTTTTTATAAACTAAAACCAAAAACGTGTGCAGAGGGCATTTAACATGCAAAGACGCGCAAATCCACGAAAAGCCCTCATCTACAAGGACCCAATCAATGGAGAGGGTTAAAGCTGTGTATGGTCTGCTAACAACCTGGGTTATTGCTGTTTCTCTCAGGCACCTGTGGTAGTTCATTCAGGAATACTATCAGAAATACTAGGCCTGAGGAGATGGCTCTGTAGTTAAGGACACTTGCTCTTGGTGCAGAAGACTCAGATTTGATCCCAGCATGCACCGGGTGGTGCATCCCTGCCTGTAACTCCAGCTCCAGGGGATCCAAAACTCTCTGGCTCCAAAGGGTTCTTGCACTCAACATGCATATACCCTCATATATGCAGACACATGCAAATATACATAATCAGAAATGATTTTGAGATATCTGGAGACTGTGGAAGTTGGCGATGCGTATGTGATTATATTGCCTTCTTGCAGTATGATGCATTGCCGGATGGGATGTGATGCATAGTCGTTCACCTGCCTTGTGCATCAGCAGGGTTTGGTGATTGACGTAAGCTACCAGGCCATGTCTCAACCTTCTAAAATTAACACTTTTAGGCACATATTTTGAGCCTCTTTCTTGTAAATGAATGTTTTTAAAAAGTCCTTAAAACTACATCTACATCTGAAGTAACTATTTTTTTTTAAGCTGGCTCGCAGAATGTGCTTATTTTAAGTCAGTTTTGGCACCCACAGTGCTGCATTCATGTGATTCAAAACTCAAGGGCTTTGAAGAAAAACGGTGGAAAAGAAGACTCCTCCCACCCTGTGCCTTCTCTTGAAGGCAGCCAACCGTATTTGCCCTTTTTGCTTCTAACCTTCCTTCTGGGGCACTGGGGTCTTCTGCGTTCTTCTTTCTTCACTGTTGGTGTTCATCACTGGGGCCCCATTAGATCCGTTCCCTCCTCAGTGACCTCCAGAGGCTTTTGATTTTATTGTAAATAAGATCCGATGGCTTATTGTTTTTTTCCTCACTAAAATGGTCATAGAAGGTGAATAAGGAAATGGCCCCTTTAAATGCTAGCTTTTCAGGGATTGGAGGAGAAAGGTGTGCTCCATGGGAGGGGTCTGTCAGTATCTAATGATTCTCTTTGCCACTTTTCTCCTTTAAGGCGCTTGACTATGGCAGACATCGAGAGAATAGCTCCGCTGGCTGAGGGGGCCTTGCCTCACAACCTGGCGGAACTTCAGAGACAGGTATGGGTAGCCTGCACTATGCTGACCATTAACAGCGCCGATGTGGTGAGGGTCACCAGTCTAACGATGTCTATCGGCGTGAATATTATCGGCTCTAGAGCTCCTAGCTCAGAGGTTCTATTGACTGAATTATCACCCACGCCTGCAAAGGCTATTTTGACGTGTTGACTAGTTTTTGAGTTTCATTCTTCTAACTTAAGATAAGGAGTTAAAATGGTCTTGGGTGTGACCTCCTCTTCAGTCATTTGCCTAGTCATCTTTAAAGAGGAGTGTTCAGGCCACTTTGTAAAGTGTATAAATATAAATCTATATATTTAAGCTTATATGTGTGTGTGTGTGTGTGTGTGTGTGTGTGTGTATACTATATATATATAGTCTTTTTTAAGTTTCAAAGCATTTTGCAAACAAACCATCGCTGTGGTTGTACCTAACAGATTATAAGAGGGAAAAAGGAAATGTATCTAATAGTGAACCAGAAAGAATTTTTTTTCTTTAATGCTAAATATGATCGAAACAGGGCTCATGTCTTGTAATGTTAATATAGCTCTATTTTGGATTTCTAAATGTTCTCAGTAGAAAAAGCCAGATGGCCTCCAAGACTGAATGGAACTGTTTCTTTCTTTCTTTTTTTTTAATGAAGCCTTGTTTTAAATGGAATCCTGGACTTCCAAGCATTCGAGCAAGCTTCAGCTGTAGCAGAGGTTCACGGACCTTGTGGAGACTTAAGGTTTAGGGGAGCCGGCCTCTTCCTTCTGATGCTTCACTGGTCTTGTCCTTGAGGAACCTGTATTTCCCATTGTTCTTTATGAGGCTGTGTGATGTTTGGGGAGATAGGGAGGGAATGTGGGAAACAGAAGGACAGGGGACAGGAGGGATAGGAAGGGGCAGATTGCCTTTCTCCTCACAGGAGTCCTGGGTGAGCAGCCGGGGTGGCCTTGCTGTTATTCATCCTTGTCAGTCAGGTCAATGAGAAATCAAGTACTCAGCCAGGTATGGTGTGAAGTGCCTGTGACTCAGCACTCAGTAAGCTGAAGCAGAAGGATTGCCGTGAGTTCAAGGCCAGCCTGAGCTACATGGCAAGACCCTGACTCCAAAAAAAATTAAACAGAAAAGATGTCTTGACTGTGGAAAGCAGGAACACTTCTGCATGAGGCCCTCAGACTTGCCTTCTGAAACCAGTGAGGCTTTCCAACTTCACCATAACAATAAATAAGAACTTTAGACTCAGCTGAAGCAAAGAGAAGACAGAAGAGTTGTTAGGTGTCCTCACTTAATATTGTGCTTTGTCTGGCTCGTGGCAGAGCAGTGTCTGTGAGGGACTGCAGTTTAGTTCTGCTTCCCTTCCTCCAAAAATTCGTTCTTTCTGCTATCAGTTTCTCTCCTTTCTGTTCTTTTTGGTTTTTTCGAGACAAGGTTTCTCTGTAGCTTTGGTGCCTGTCCTGGAACTCGCTTTGTAGACCAGGCTGGCCTCGAACTCATACAGATCTGCCTGCCTCTGCCTTCCAAGAGCTGGGATCAAAAGCGTGCACCGCCACTTGGTGCTCTAAACAAACAAACAAACAAACAAACAAACAAACTTAAGACATTGAACTATTTAAAGAGTTCTTACAGAGTTGAACTTTATATTTTACACTATGCATTTGTGAAAATTGCTGTTGAGTTTTGAAAACCTTGTGAAAGATATGGGACAGTGTTTTGTCTCTATCCTTGTGGTAGGGGTTGGGGGCAACTCAGTGGTTGAGTGCTTGTATAATGTGAATTATACCTTGATTCAACCGTGAATGCCACAAAAATAAATGAATAAACAAGTATGCAAATACTTGTAATTGAGAAATAGTTCATTTAACTTCTTCAAGGGCCAGCAGGATAGCCTAGTGGATGAAGAAGTATATTAGTCAGGGTTCTTTGGCGGAATGAAACAGATTTTGTAAATATAAATATCTGGGGATTTAGTAAAGTGGCTTACAGCCTGTAGCCCAGCCAGTCCAACAATGGCTGTCTGTCAATGGGAAGTCCGAGAATCCAGTAGTTGTTGAATTCACGAGGCAGGATTTCTGAGCTGATCTTCAGTAGATGCTGGAATCCTGAAGAAGTAGGTCCTAATACCAGTGGAAAGAATGGACTTGCCATCAGCGGTGAGGGCAAGCTGGCAACGAGCAAGAGCTTTAGTCCTCTATGTCCTTTCTATAAGCTGCCCCCAGAAGGTGTGGCCCAGAGTAAAGGTGGGTCTTCCCGGGTCTTCCCACTTCGGATGATTTAACTGAGGAAAAAAAAACCCTCACAGGTATACCCAGTGTCTTGGGTTTTAGTTCATTCTACATGTGGTCAAGTTGGCAACCAGGAATGGCCGTCCCAGGAGCTTGCTGCTGAGCTTGGTTCCCTGAGTTCAATTCCTGCCTCCACTCTCTAGCCAGCCTAGCTCAGTCTGCAAGCTCCAGGTTTAGGAAAGCCCCTCCTCTCAAGGGATTGGCTGGAGAACAATAGAGGAGGACGCCTGATGTCAACCTCTGGCCTCCAAGAGATCTCATGCAACAGTAACAACTTGGGTAAGGGTCTTAGTTTGGCCCACTGTTGAAGAGACACAGGCCTCTTTATAGTTCTCCTGAGGATAGTCTTTTTTTTTTTTTTTTTCCGAGACAGGGTTTCTCTGTAGCTTTGAAGACTGTCCTGGAACTAGCTCTTGTAGACCAGGCTGGCCTTGAACTCACGGAGATCCGCCTGCCTCTGCCTCCCAAGTGCTGGGATTAAAGGCATGCGCCACCACCACCTGGCTTGAGTATAGTCTTTACTGACAGTGGGAGATGGCTCAGCAGCTATAAAACCCTCACTGCAGAAGCCTGGCCACCTGAGTTTGGTCCCCAGAAACCACTTAAAGGTAGACAGAACTGATTAGACAGTGTTGTCCTCTGATTTCCCCGTGTGAGCCAGGGCCATGTGTGCCCCTACACATCTCGCCCACGGCCAGCAACAGTAAATAACATTTAAAAGCGGATGTCTAAGAACCCTTGCAGCAGCGTTGAGTACTGGAAACACACCAGATACTTGCTGAGGGGAGAAAGGAATATAGTGCGCAGAGAGAAAACGATTGGTTATTTTTTTCTGCTTGTAGCGGGCCTGTGATGTTGTTCAGGCTAGCCCTTGACTCACGGTCCTCCTGCCTGGAGAGGGGGTAAGAGGATCATCAGAGGTTCAAGGCCAGCCTTGGCTACATAGCAGATTTGAGGTTGACTTGGGCTACATGCAAAAGTATCTTAGAATAGAATGGGAATGAGGGAGAGAGAGAGATTGGAAGTTTCTTTTGTGTTCTGCGGGCAGAACCTACATACCAGTCAGGCACTCTACTTCAAGCTATATTTGAAGCTAAACAATGATCCTCATCCCATCATTACTGGCCTTGAACTCTCTTTGTAGTGGAGGTTGGTCTTGAACTTGGATCCTCCTGCCTCCATCTCCTGAGTGCTGGGGTTGCAGCTCTGTAACAGCACACCTTTCTATGAGTGCTGGGAATTGAACTCAGGGTTCTGTTGTGTGATGTTTTACTATTTTCTCTTTTGGCTTTTTGAGGGGCCCACTACCCAGCTCCCAAATAAATCACACACAGACACTTATTCTTACTTTGAATGCCAAGTCTTAGCTTAGCTTGTTTCTGACCAGCTTTTCTTAAATTAACCCATCTACCTTTCCCCTCTGGGTTTTTATCTTTATTTCTGTCTACCTTTCTTTACTTCTTTCTCCATGGCTTGCTATGTAGCTGGGTGGCTGCCCCTGATACCCTCTGCTCTTGGTTCTCCCTCCTCCCGGATTTCGCCTTCTATTTATTCTCTCTCCCCGTAAGCCTCGCCTATCCTTGCTCCTGCCTCGCTATTGGCCATTCATCTCTTTATTAGGACCATCAGGTGTTTTCGACAGGCACAGTAGCAGGGCTTCTCAGAACAGATGCAATATAAACAAAAATCACACACTTGAAAATGGTATTCCCCAACATTGTTCACGTTAGACAGGCATTGTACTGACTGAGCTGTGTCCCCATCTCCCCAAATGGAAGTTGCGGTTTGAAGAAACTGAGTTAAATAAAAGTTAATAGAAGGCTGCAGAGAAAAAGATGTGCCCATTTTTAAGACTTGTAATAATTTGAAAGTTAAAACCAGGTTGTTCCTATGTGAGAATGGGCAAAGGAACCTCCTCTTTTTCTCTCATGGTGTCCCCACATTTACTTTTCAACTGTATGGGATAAATGATCTACAGGAACCTTCTTGGGCATATAGCTCCGTGTGTGTATGCGTGTGCTCGCGTTGCATCTATGTGAAATTATAATCTGAAATTATAACAAAGCTCTAGGCCATTTGGTCAAAATGAACTGAGTTAAGCTTTGCTGTCAATGGTTTTCAGCCTTCCTAATGCTGACTCTTGAATACAGTTCCTCATGATGTGGTGACCCCCAACCATAAAATTCTTTTTATTGCTACTTTATAGTTGTCATTTTGCTACAGTTATGAATTGTAATGTAAATATCTGATATGCAACGCCCAAAGGGGTCAAGACCCACAGGTTGAGAGCCACTGACTTAGATATTACAGGGTTGATTTCATTTTTATTTCATGAGTGCTGTTTCTTAGTCTTAAGGTTTTGTCTTGTGTAGTTTGTAGTCTCATGAACTGTCTTTGATCTTGGGTTTGTGAATCCACGTAGGAAGACATTACAGTTTCCTGATGAGTTCTACAAAAGTGAAACTTCAAAAGGAAGAAATCGGGTGTATATGCAAGCTATTATTGACTTGTTAGCCATTTATCTCATTAAAAATTTTAGTTTGGAAGATACCGCAGTCTCAAATGCATCTGAGCTCCCCCATGCTGGGAGGAAAGTATACATACATTGTTTTATAGACAGAAACAAGAAAATAATTAAAGTCTATATATTTTTCCTGTACCTGCTTGGCACATGTACAGTCTCTGTAACATCATGGTTTTGGGTTTCAGTCTTACTTTGTAAGGCTAAAAATATTTGAATTGCATTGGAGGGTCAGGAACGTCATGGGTGTGGCTTGAGAGTCTGTTGTGTGTTCCCTAGTTGTACCTGGCTCCTCTGACCACACATTCAGCTCATGTAGAACCCAGCCCTGTTGCTCCCAGATACTTGCTTAAAATTGACTCTGGTTATTCTTGTTCTCTCACGCTGGTGGGTATTATTGGAAGAGGCCTTCTCACCGTGAAAGCGGCCTGGTGTAGGCTTGATTCATCAGCTGACACAATCCCATCCTACATTTAACAAAAACAAACAAAAAACCCGAAACAAATTTTAAGAAAAGAGGCGGGGGGATAAAAAGAAAAAAAAAAAGGACCTCTCTTCAAATGAAATCTCAAATTTCTGAGGGAGACAGTTAAACTCACTTAAGAATCTCAACTGTGTTTTGCTTTGAAAAACACTTAATTAGGCTTGTTAAAGATGAACCTCTCAGTCATGATCATAACCTTAAGGGGGAGAGTGTCCTTCCCTTTGGCCTGTTTGCTCATGGAAGGTGATCGTTTTAGTGCTGAATATTTTCTTTCTGTCTAAATGCTAAAAACTCAGTACGTAGTCATTAATAGGGAAGACAGCTGTAGGGGCATTCCTTTTATGAATATGTATGATGTGAAATCTATAGCATTAATTACATTAATTTGCATAGATGACTACAAGGGAACCATAAGTTGTAGGGATAACTAAGCCTTAGGAAGAAAAAAGTCTCGGTAACCCTGCTCTTGTGTGTTTTCTTACAAATGCTATTTAATGGAAATGAAGGTGACATTTCTGTCAAAAGGCATTTGGGCGTTTATAGCTTGAGATGTTTTAGCTAAGAGTTAAAGCACAGAATAATCCTTCAGTTTTCATAGGATTTTGCAGGCTTATAAACACTCTTTGAAGAAAGGGAGTTGAAAGAAAAATCTGTATTGTTGAACGCAGGAGAAAACTCCCTTGTGAATAAGGGAATTAGTGGTTGCTTGATGCTTCTTCGGGATCATAGACCCTATTATTTTACAAGAATCCTCCACCCCCCTTTAAGATAGGGCCTCATTCTGGACCCCAGATTTACTTTAAATTTATTTTTTAAGTTTTTATTTTTTATTTTATGTTTATGGATATTTTGCCTGTATGTATGTATGTATGTATGTATGTATGTATGTATGTACATGTAATACTCATGGAAGCCAGTAAAGGGCATCTTTGGAACTGGACTTTTAGTTGGTTGTGAGACTCTCTGTGGGTACTGGGAACTAAACTTGAGTTCTCTGGAAGAGCAGCCAGTCTTAACCAATGACCATCTTTCCAGCCCTTGACTTTGATCTCTTGATTCCTCGGCTTTTGCTGTCCGAGAAGCTGGGATGACAGATTTGCACCCCCATGCCTAGCTTTAGTCTATATATCTAAATCCAGCTTTTTTCCCCTTGAGGTATAGTCTCCTATAGCCCAGATGGGACTTGAGCCTATCGTAACTAAGGATGACCTTGAACTTGGAGTCTCCTGCCTCCATTCCCTTAGAACTAGAGTTCATGTCTGACTTACCATGTCCAGCTAATGGCTTTAATTTTTTTTTTAGTTTTGTTTATTGTGTGGCTGTATTTGTATGTATGTGTGTGTATGAGTGGAGACACACACGTGTCATGGCACATGTGTGGAGCTTAGAGGACATCTTTGGCAGCCAGTTCTCTCCCTTCACCCTGGCCTCTGGGGCTCAAACTCGGATCATAAGGCTTGCACAGCGAGCCCCTTAGCTGCCGAGCCGTCTTGTCAGAGGCCGCTGCCTCCTCTTCTCCTTTTCGAAAAGCTCGTTACAATGAACTAGATATTTTATTCCTTTGTTCCAGTATCTTATAGAGCATAGTAAATATTCTCATACGGATACTGCTAAGTTCCAGACGCACACATCGATGTAGACAAGTTGCTCCTGGTGCAGGACCCGTGGACTAGCATCTGAGTCCCAGTGAGATTTATTTCATTGCTTTATCTCACTGTCATCCTAGATTTTGTTAGAACTATGAACGTGGGAAGGCAGTAGTCATTAGAGATTCTAGATGTGATCTGTCTTCTCTGGTCTGGAACTCATAGAGATCCACCTGCCTCTTTCCCCTGAGTGCTGAGATGAAAGACCTGCTTTACTCTAGGCAATTTTGACACAGTTCTAAAACGAAGGGTTTTTGGTATGGGCGGTTCGTGCCTGTCATTCCAGCGCTTGGGAGACGGAGGGCCAGTGGTTAAAGGATCCTCAGCTATGTAGCAAGTTCAGGGCCAGCCTCGGGTCTGAGACTGTGACTCAGAAAACGTAATAAATGGGATTGGTCAGGTGGCTCAGCATGTAAAGGCACTTACCACCAAGTCTGACAATCTAAGTTTGAGTCTCAGAACCCACGTGGTGGGAGGAAAGAACTGATTGCTGAAGGTTTCTTCTGACCTCCGCATGTGAGTTATGGCTGCATGCAACTCCCTATCTCAACGTGTATACAGCGGATGAATGAGTGATCGATCAACTATTAAAAACAAGAAAATTGTCACTTAGTTAGAGAGGAGTAAATGTTATCTGCTGGTATATTTGCTTACCTAAGAGGTTCACTTCTGGGAGGGCTAGAAATGGGACTTAGTGATACATTGCTTGCCCAAGCTCCCACGAGGCCCTGGAACCAATCCTCACTACTGTACAAACAAGCAAACCTCTCAAGGATAACAATGTATTCCCCAGGAGCAGTCTGTATGTGAAAACTAAGAAAATGCCACGCTATATTTTTCTGGGTATGGTTTTGTTTGTTTGTTGTTCAGTTTTTTATGTTTTTGAGTGTTTGGAGAGCATATGTATCTGGATGCATGCTTGGTACCCTTGGAGGGCAGAAGAGGGTCTGGGAGTCCCTGGAACTGAAGTTATCAGGTGGTGGTGCACCACCGTGTGGGCTGAACCCAGACTGGGTCCTCTGCAAGCTCAGTGAGTGCTCTTAACTACTGAGCCATCTCTCGAGTGCTGAGATATTTATTTTCCAAAAAACACTAATATCCTGTTGGCTTTCAGTTTTAGATTTCCCTTTTTAACCTGAAAAATGGCAGACTGTAGCATTTTTCACTGGCAGGCTACTTTTTCAGACATTTTTTTCTGTTTCTTCCTCCCCGCAGCAATCTCCTGGCTTGGGCAGGTCTATCTGGCTCCAGATTGCGGAGTCCGCTTACAGGTTCACTCTGGGCTCGGTCGCTGGAGGTGAGTACCGTTTCGCTGGTTCTTTCAGGCTGGTCTTGCTGTAACATTATCCCAGCAGACAGGCCGGCTCAGCAAAGGTGCAGTTCATTGTTCCTGGGGTCAGGACTGTGAGGCTTTCCAAAGGCTCTTTATTTCGGGGGGCCTGTCTTAGCACGGCTGTGGCCCTCTGGCTCCAGTCTGTCTTCAGCGTAAAACCTCTGTAATGACGGGAGAGCCTGAAGTGCGTCTCTGCACTCACCTTAATTACATCAGTTAAGGCCAGCGTGAAAAATGGCGACTAAAAAACGGAGTTTACAGGGTCAGGCTAGGGGCAGGGAGGAAGCTAAGATCAGAGATGCAAACTCAGAAATTCGTGAACTAGAACAACCTCTCACGGAGAATCACCGTGGCTGGCTCGTGGTTCTTCTCTCCTTTCTCTGGCTTCAGAGTGTCCAGATATGTTGGTAATTTGCTAAAAAGAATCTCTCCTCCCTCTCTGCTCACAGCAGTAATTAGAAAGCCCGTTAAAAAGGTTTTCATTTTTGTGTGTGCGTGTGTGAGCGTGTACAGGTCGTGGTGTGCATTGTGGAGGTCAGAGGTCAACTTGTCCAGAGTTGATTCTCTCCTTCTACCGTGGGGGGGGTCTAGGATTAAACTCAGGTTGTCACCCTTGGTGGCAAGCACCTTTGCCTGCTGAGCCACCTCTCCAGTCCAAGATAATTTTACTTCAACAATCTGTAAAGAAAATGTATAAAACCTGAAATTGCTTTGTTGAAAAAAAAACTTCAAAAAATGATTAAAATGCTCTGGAATTTTTAAAGCAAGCTGGAACTGGTGACTAGGATTTTTTTTTTCATCCTCAGCTTTAGAAAGTGCCAAGTGTTTTCTGGCTTTCAACAGCCCCAAAATAGAGCACTCTAGGTCCTATGAAATATTTCAGTCGCCAAGAAATTCTAAAGCGTGACTATATAGGTTTTTGTTTGTTTGATTTTCAACCAAATTCTATATCTAGGGGTTGGATCATGTCAAGGATTTTTCTTCCAGATGGCTATAGCTTAGATTAATTTACCAAAATGTTTCAGTGAACTAAACTTTGAAATTACAACCTCTTAGCTTGCGTACCGTTATTGCATAGTTATGAAGGAGGAGCAGGTGTAATATTTAGGCATTTAATAGAAAATGAGAAGAAACGGTATCTCTGCATGAGAGCTTAGTGTCAGATAAAGGAAACTGAGGGCAAATTTTCTAATGTTGGTTGGTATTGATTTGAGAATCTACTTTCTAACTCATGGACCAAAGGTATCGAAGATTTTTTTTAGGGCCGTACACATGCTAGGTAAGCTCTCTGCCTCTGACTTATGGAGCTGTTTGTAGACCCCACTGGTTGCTATTCTGCCATCTTTTGGCTCTATTAATAAGCAAAAGAGGGGCTGGAGAGATGGCTCAGCGGTTAAGAGCATTGCCTGCTCTTCCCAAGGTCCTGAGTTCAATTCCCAGCAACCACATGGTGGCTCACAACCATCTGAAATGAGATCTGGCGCCCTCTTCTGGCCTGCAGGCAGACACACAGACAGAATATTGTATACATAATAAATAAATTTAAAAAAAAAGTACCTGGTAGTACCTTTAAAAAAAAATAAGCAAAAGAAATGTGTAATAAGTTGGCTCTCTTTTGTAAGAATAGACAGTTTTATTTCTCACCTGCAGAGATGAGAGTTGATGTCCTTATGGATGTGCCAGCTAATTGTGTTCTCTTTGCTGAACCTAAAAATTGTTCTGTTTGTAGCTGTGGGGGCCACAGCAGTGTATCCCATAGATCTGGTGAAGACCCGGATGCAAAACCAGCGTGGCACGGGCTCTGTGGTTGGGGAGCTGATGTACAAAAACAGCTTCGACTGTTTTAAGAAAGTGTTGCGTTACGAGGGCTTCTTTGGACTCTACCGAGGTGAGTAAGCAAATCTCAGCCGCTGAAGCTGGCCATGTTTCTGTCACCATCCGCAGATTTAAGTCACTTGTTACGGAGACCAGCCAGGGCTGTTCCCCCACCCCCACCCCACTCCCTTTGCTCAGTTTCCCGCCTTGCGTTCTTTCTCAATAGCAGTCTGCAAACGGGTGTCCCCTTCTCTTTCCTGCCGTTTTTAATTCTTGGGCTCCAAATTCTGTGTATGTGAACATGCTCTTTGAGGGCATGGACCGGCAGAGATGTAGAAAGGAGAGCTATACTAACAAATTCCCCGTGAAATCGAAGCCAGGTGCTACTTGAAGGTGAGTTTACCCTGGGTATACACTTGCTTGAACAGAAATGCCCGTTTTTCCCCGTCTTTTCCAAGGAGACCCGTGATAAGTCTTTTCCAATTGGGTCATCTGAATTTTTAAAAGGCAGGAAAAGCTTATGCCCCAAGCTTCAGCCAGTCTCCCTTTCCTCCCCACGGCAAGCAGAGCACGGTGTTCCTTTCTCTCGTGGAGACTATTACTGAGCGCCGGACTGTCGCATCCCAAGCTGCAGCCCCGTGTAGAATTCTCCTCGGCCCCAGTGGGCTTTGTAGGAACTTGTCTTCTTGGAGAGAGGATGGCTTTCATCTACATGTTTTCACCTTAGAATTTAGGGTTCTTTGCAGGGGAGATTAATTTTTTAATCCCTTTGGGCGCCACTTGGAATTCTTTGAAACACCATGCTCTGGTCCCGGCATTTATGTAATTTACTGTACGTGTTTGTTGGCATTCCCAGGCTTACTAGTCGCCTGCATCTTGTGAGCTCTGTCGAACCATTTGGCTCGGGACTTTTCCTAAGAAAGAAAGACTGGGACTGACCAGATGGGCAAGAGAAGAAACACCTGTAGTTGGCATGTATTCAGGCACTTGAGTGGACACCCTTAGAGGCGAGGAAGGTCAATGGCCTGTTTGTTGTGGGCCCTGTATTGGAGTAAATAGGCCCAAACACCCTGCTTCTGAGAGCGAATATGATGTAATTTGCTCAGATACTCAGATCGCTTTAGCTCTGCAAATCCCAGCCGCATAACTTGTACTACAGAGGCAACAGTGGCTACTGTCCCGGGTGTTCAGGGCTGGTGGCGCAAAGGCTTGTTTTAAATGAACTTAGCTCTTCACACCTAGATCTTACCTAATGGGGAGAATCACGGTGGAACAGCACTGAGGTTGTTCATTTCTTTGACATCTCCAATCTTTCACTATCAAATAATGGTCTTTCCCTTAATTAGTGTAGTTTTAAGTTACAAAGGGTGTCTACAGAGAGCTATTAGATGACTCTAGCCATGTCGTGTATACCCTTCTCAATAGATAGATACTTCTAGAAGATTTTGTTTGGAAGAGCTATCTTATTAATTAAGAGGGTGCATATAGCAAGCCGGGGAGGATGCCGTTGACTTTACTGAGGGTCTAAGCTGATGAAATGGATTCTTTAAACGAGAGACTTTTGTATGAGATGATTGTAGGATCCCTGCCTGGGAGCACAGGGATTGTTGAGATTGTCATATGTTGCTTAAAACTGGCCCATTGTTCTGTCAGATGACTGACAGAGTTGCTGACAGATTCGCTAAATTTCTTTGCAGCCAGCAATGATAAAATGACACAGATCAGTACTTTATTAACATTCCACAAGCGTTAGGGAGGAAAGTTGTAAAACAGATACACACCCTGACACCGTTGCCCTGGAGCGAGGCTAAAAGTAATAGGGTCTGAGGATCAGGGAGGAAGCATGGGAAGACTGCCATCTGCTGATTTATTCTCTCAGCTCAGTCCGCGGCCCGTGGAAGGTGTGCCGGCTTGTGTTTGTCGTTGGTAGTTCAGTTTGACTGACAGTGGCCTGTCTGCAGGGCTGCTTGCTGGCTCTCCACTTCCGGAAAATCACTCTTTGGCACCTTCCAAGGAGGCCTAAGAGAGCAGCAAGCAAGCATGCGGGAGGCAGGAGTATCAATCACTCCCCTGGTTCTGAAGCTATACGATGTGTTTCTTGCTAGCAGCTTTTTAAAATGTATGCAAAAGGAAAGGAAGAAAGAAATAGGCCGGCAGCTCGGTAAACGCGCGTGCTCTGGAAAGCGGAGCTTCACGGGCACCTACGGTTTGCACGTAACTGTTTCCGGCCAGCCTGGGAAATGTAGCTTTCTAAGCATGATGCTTTCTTTTGTTTTGGGAAGAGTCTTCTAAAATGCCTTAAGCTTGACAGATATTAGTAAAATATAATTGACCTATGCTTTCGCTTATAGACGATGCCCACAAACTGATACTAAAAGCTGCAGGTTTCTTTCTTTACAGTTGTGGCTTTCTTTTAAGTAAATGAGTTCCGAGTGCTGGGCTTCTCTGGAGAGAGGATAATGGGAGCGGATAGTCAGTAGCAGCCTCGCTCCTTTGTGCCGCACGGAGTCTATAGCAAAGCCTGGCTGTGCTTACCGCACACTACTGCCCCGAGCCTCTCTCCCGGCCTTCAGCACAGGCATACGGATGTTTGTGGGCTGCTGCTGGGGCAGGGGAGATCCAGTTAGGGAGGGGAGAAAACCCAGAGGGTCCATTCTTCCGTTGCGTACTTTAGGCAAGGCACTGGACAGCAAGGTTTTATTTATATATTTATCTTTATGGATGTTAAAAGAAAACATTTATAGTTCCGAGTAAATGACATTATATATGACTGGTCAATTGTATATATGTATGTGTGTGATTTATATATTTATATAATGCATAGGATATATATATATATATATATAATTATTTAGGATAATCTTTTCCCCATTTAGATGAAAACCCCGAGATACTTGTTGGATACCTTCAAGGGAAACACTCCCTTGTTGGGTTTATCCACTCACATAAAGACATGATCCTCTCTTTCTACCCAGGTCTGATACCCCAGCTGATAGGAGTTGCACCAGAAAAAGCCATTAAGCTGACCGTAAGTTTCTTGCCGCTGAACTGATGTCATTTCCTTAGATGGTCGTGCAGCCAGCAGCAATGCTGGTGAGACTGCAGCAATGCTGGTGAGACTGCACTATCGAGGCCCTTGTAAGCACTTTCACATCTATGTGGACACATTTGGTGAAATCTTACTTTTATCATGAGACAAGTATTTTGATAATTCAGAAATACGATGGTGTGCAAGCAGAGGAGATGACAGGAAATTCTGATGAACTGATCTTGTCTTTCTTATTAGGTTAATGATTTTGTCCGGGATAAATTTACCAAAAGAGATGGCTCCATCCCACTGCCGGCAGAAATCCTCGCTGGAGGCTGTGTGAGTGTCCATCCTGAGTATTTCCTGCAGCAAACATATCCCTCTAACCCTTTTACAAAGTAGGAATGAAATGCAAGTGATATTTCCTCTTTAAATTTTGTTTTACTACATTTTTCTTTAGTGTGTGTGGAGTGCATACCTTGGTGTTTATGTGTGACGGCCAGAGGACAGCTTTCAGGAGCCGGTTTTCTCCTTCCATCGTGGGGGTCCTGGGGATTGAACTCAGGGCTGCAGGTTTGGCAGCAGGCACCTTTACCGCTGAGTCATCTTGCTGGCCCAACATTCTCCTTTAACTCAGAGAATGGCCTGAGAGAAGTCTCGTAGTAATGATGCTTGAAAATGGGTGTGTGTGCATACGATAGGCTTGACTGCCTTCCTCGGGAGAGCTGCCACCTCCTCTGAGACACAACCACTCGCTGGTTTGAAGCTCAGCAATTGCGGCTACTCTGTCTGAAAGTGAACCCGGGGATCTTCTTGGCTCCACCCATGCTGTCACTGGGTTTCCCAGGCAGGCCACCACGTTTGGTTTTATGTGGCTTGTGGGGATTGAAAGCAGGTCCTAGGGCTAGCCTTGCTAGCTGATCCTTCTCCCCATTGTACAATCTCATTCTTCTCTTCCTCTTCCTCTTCTTCTCCTTCCCCTTCCTCCCCTTTCCTTTCTTTTTCTTCTTCTTCTTCTTCTTCTTCTTCTTCTTCTTCTTCTTCTTCTTAAGGGTTTGTTTTTTTTTTTTTTTTTTTTTTTTTTTTTTTTTGTTTTTAAGATAGTCCTGGCTGTCCTGGAACTCGCTCTGTAGACCAGGCTGGCCTTGAACTCACAGGGATCCACCTGCTTCTGACTCCTAAATGCTGGGGTTAAAGGTGTGTGCTGTATAATCTGATTTTGAGTATTGTTATTATCAGCTTTCTTTTAAATTTCTGAAGCTCTATCTTCTAGACTTTAAAATATACATACATACAGATATGATTTTTATTTCATGTGTGTTTTTCTTGCATGCATGTAAGTGCACTGTGTGCACTCAGTGCCCATGGTGGCCAGAAGGGGGTTTCCCATCACCTGGAACTGGAGTTATAGACATTTGTGAGCCACCACGTGGTTGCTAGAAACTGAACAAGTGCTCTTAACAGCTGACGCAGCTCTTTAGCCCCCTTCTGACTTCTTACATTCTTAAGTTTTGTTTTTTTAAGCATCAAAGGAAATGCAGGAGCAGATTGAGTTACTGTTCATTTCTCCGCCCTGGAACTCTGAGTGCGAGGCGGCTGGTTAATTGGGCCCTTCAGTTTTATGTGTAGGAACGAACCTGCTATTGTAGTTTAATTAAACCTCCTTATGGTGCTGCAATGGGGCAGGAAGAGCCTTTAACTGTGTTGTGGTCATTGGCCAAGATTCTAAAGCCAGAAACTGAGAGTGTAGCTCTTGTAGAGCTCAGTTAGTCTGTGTTTAAGGTGTGAACACGGCATTGGATTCAGACCGACCGACGCATCTAAGTTTGCAGCCCAGCAAATGTTATGTGTGGTGTGCGCCTCACAATTGCTAATGTGATCTGCTCGAGACTTTCATAGTTCGGTTCATTCCTGAACATGTTAATAACTTCTGGTTGAACTGGCCGGAGGTCTTGGCGAAAACCTCACTTGCTCACGAAGCCTGAGATGATGAGGTCAGTGACCTTAGAAGTTTTAATTCAGAGAAGATGTCCCTGGGGTCATGGGGAGCAGTTGCTCTGGGCTTCTTCATGATGAGACTTGTCAGCGGGACCCTTGCCTCGTGTGGGGGATGCGGCCAGGCTTGCGTGTTTGGTTATATGCCATGTCTGTGTGTGCTTCCTTAGGAAAGAGACGTACTTGGCTCAATTTGTCATTTATGAAAGGTAAATGGTTTGATGAGAATAAGCCCCACCAACATGTGCCCACTAAAATATGTTCCTCCACCTTACATTGTTATTAGATGCTATAATTGTTTCCCTCCTTTGCAAATCATAAATACATTTTATAGGTGTTTTTAGCTTTCATTTCATTATGAAGCTTTCTCACTCATATTGACCACAGCACACACAGACAGACCTGTCTGTAATTCCTTGAAAGCTAGGCATCTTTTGTTGTGGAGGGGTAGTGCGTGCCTGTAATTCCTGAAGTAGGGAGGTTAATTCAGGAGAATCAGAATTTCAGGGTTATCTTTGGTTACATATGGGTTCAAGGCTAGCCTAGGCTAAATGAGACCCTGTCTGGGAAAGAGAAAGAAATAAGTATATTTTCTTTTCCACACAGCTAATTATTTCTGTGCTGTGTAGAGGATTTTGGTCCTAAACTGGCCTGGCCTCTTGTCTGACCTGTGACCTAAGTGGTTAAGCCATAATCGGACATGTATAACTTTGTTCTTGGTGTGGACTCTTGTCTACAGGTGCAGTCTAAGACGCCCTGAGGGTTTGGCTGACACCGAGTCATGATTTATTTCTGGATCTTAATTCTAACTAATGCTTGATTGACTGATAGCAGGAGAATTAGTGATGTGGAGCTCTGGGCAACGAGGAAGGAAAATGTGCATTATTAAATAGTGATGTATTTTTTTTATTTCTATTTTATTTTTTGACCCAGAGTTGCACTGTGTAGCCCAGGCTAGCCGTAAACTCATGATGCTTCTTTAGCCTCCTCGGTGCCAGGGTTACAGGCTCACGCCACTTACAAAGCCTGATTTTTCTACTGATGAACCCTCAGACTACAAGGTAGAAGCTTGTCAGAGCACAGCCCACCACTTCTCTCCAAAGTCAGCAAACTCCACCAGAGAATCAAGTCCGAGAGGAATGGCCAAGCCTCTGTTTGCAGACCAGCATGCACTTCGGGGTAGAGGATGACCCTGAATAAGGCCCTGTGAGAAGCAGCAAGGACCTGATCCAGAGTCCACACCCTCCATGGTAGTGATCAGATAAACGTGTGGTGTCCCTGAAGGGGGGAGGTTTAGCTGAGTGCTGTTGCTACGTTCCTACCACCACCGAGTGATACCCAGTTGCTCTCTCCTCAGCTACCCAGTTTTAAAACTACCTAGGTTACTTGGGAAGGAAAGATCTGGCTAAGTTGGATGCTCTTCCCAGCAAAGGGATCAGCGAGGGCCCTGGCCTAGTTTCTTGTAGATGGGAGGGAACATGGTTGCCATGAGAATAGGGTGAAAATTCAGATCTGCAGGTACACATCCTGCTGTTGAGCTTTTCTTTGTTTTTGTTTTGAGATCGGGTCTCACCATAGAGCCCTGGCTAGTCTGGAACTCTCTATATAGACCAGGCTGGCCCTCAACTCCTAGAGATCCACCTGCCTCTCCCTCCTGAGTGCTGGGATTAAAGGCATGTGCCACCACTGCTTGGCTGTTTGTTTTGAGATAGGGTCTCACTACGTAAGCCCTGGAACTCACTCTATAGACCAGGCTGGCCTCGAACTTACAGAGATCCTCCTGCCTCTGCCTCCCATGACCTGAGATTAAAATGTTTGCCACCACATCCAGTCTGTGTTATAATTTTGTGTGTGTGTATCTTTGTGTACACATTTGTGTGTGGTATTGTATATGTGCATATGAGTGTGTGTCTCTGTTGTGTATACGTGTGTGTGTGTGTGTGTGTGTGTACAGAGGCCAGATGAGGACAAGGTCTCTCACTGAACCTGGAGTTAGGCTGGTGACCAGCAAGCTCCTGTCTCTGCCTTCTACAGTGTTGGGGTTCCAGCAATGCATAACAAAGGTAACAAAGCCTGGCTTTTTATATGGGTTCTGGGCACTTGAACCCATGGTTTCCCATTTGCAGAGCAAGCATTCTCACCCACTGAGTCTTCCTAACTCCACCCAGAGTTTTAGATAAGTTAAATAGCAACCTTACAATTTCTAAAACGTTTCAGTGCTGCTGGATATAGTTTGACTACATGATCCTAGTCCTAGTGTTTAAAGTTTAAGAATGTTAAGTAATTTTAAAAACACATCCAAGCATTATTGAACTGACTGAGAAGTTCTCCTTAAAACTCCATAGCACACAGGGCTGATCCGATGGATATGTGCCTTGCTCCAGTATCAGTGTTCATGATTGCCACGCTCCCTTACTTGGGGATCCACATCGACAGTTTGTTTCTGTGCTCCAGGGTGTCCTATGGGTGCCGGCATGCTCACCTTCAATGCAGACAGCGATTAATGTGACTGCATGTGTAACATGCGCTGTTGGCTCCTTTCCTCGGCTGTATTAAAGAAAGCGCATTACTTGTACACTGCGAGATTTGAAGGCGTGCACAGCTTAGTCAACTGCGGCATTCCTACGAGCCTCAGATGAGAGAAGAGAATCTCAAGAGAGGGAGCTGGGGGCAGGCAGGCGGGATGGGATAACTCACCAACCGGTAAAATGTGAAGGGACAGGCTGCGTGCCAGGGTGCACACCTTTTCCCAAGGCAGGAGGTAAAGACCTGTAGATCCCTGAGTTCAAGGCCAGCCTGGTCTACTTAGAGAGTTCTAGGACAGCCAGGGCTATGCAGAGAAACCATGTCTCAAAAAACCAACCAGCCAAACAAGCAAACCAAAAACCATGAAGGACTTTGTGTTTATTTAAACATAATATCCGTATTTAACACTTAGCCCCTGAAGGCTGGTATACTGGTAGTGGCAAATCTGGGGGATTATGATAAAAATGTATAGTTCTTTTCTTTTTATCTTAATCTGCCTTAATATAGAATATAAAGAATGTATCCCCAAATACAGTCTTTACAGGCATTATTTAAAAAAGCGATTTTAGGGAAATAGTAAACTTTTCAGTTGGTTTGGTCTTTAATTCTAGCTACAGGAGTAATTACTTGGATTATCATTTTAACATAATTTTCACCCAGCAATCCTTTTGAAAGTACTGTTTGCTTAGATTGAAACATTGAGATGCCCCCTTCTGCTTGCAGCGCTGCAGATTATGACAGAAAGAAATCCAGGCAAATCAGCATGGAAAATGGGGCAGTGCATCCTTGTTGGGGGGCCTGTGTGCCTGCTGGTGGTCGGTGCTGTGTCGGGACAAAAGGGGATTAATTTCCTGGGGATTCAGGACAGTCAGCTGCCTGGAGGAGGAGAGGAAGCCAGGGCCAGTGTGGTGTTCAGAGTTGTGAGTGTTGAAGGGTCAGGATTTAACCCAGAGGCATTGAAGTGTGGCCCCAGAGTAGTTAGGAGCCACCTTGCTGTCCTTTGGAAGGGGGTCACAGAGGGTGATCGGCAGATGTGGAGGAGCATGGGTGGGAGGAGCATGGGTGGGGGTCTGAGATGACGTCATGTCTGGACACCTGTAGAACTGCCCCTCAAGGAGCACACTTCTTACTTTACAGGAACATGCGCTGCAGCTGAGTTATGACTATGTGATGATTTTGATTATATGAATACCATTTTAATTGAATATTGTGTGAATATAGTTTTTGATTATATAATGTAAACAGCCGTAGTTTAAGACAAAATGGCACAAATGAGATTTCTTCGCTTCATGAAGGGAGATGATATATATGTGTGTGTGTGTGTGTGTGTCCGTGATCATGCACTCATGCTTATCTTTATATTACAGAAACCCTAAAAGGAGTTGTAGCAGTTATTTTAAACGTTCTTTTCCCCTCCTCTACTACTTGGCAGATTTCAGGTGCAAATTCACTTTGAATATTTGAAAATCAAATCTGATGCTCACCCCAGAGTGTGGACTTTGCCTTTGCTCTGAGGGTGTCACACTCTGGGTGACTCAGAGTTCCGCTTTCCAGCTCTGTCTTGGATTTTTTTTTTTCCTTGTTTTGTCTTGGAACGATACTAAAGTCTGCCTTTCCAGGTTCCTTCCTTTAATGTGAGTGTCGCTGGTTGGGACCCAAAGCTCTGTGCATGCTCACATAGAGTGCAGAATTTGACTCAGAGGAGAAAAGTCTGGCTGTAAAGGGGCTAACGTTGTGTTCATTTTTCTGCAAGTTGGCAGACCGAAGACAGCGCTCTGCGGAACTTTCCGTTCACCCAGAGCTCACCGCCTACATCTTCATTTGCTTCTTTTTTTCCAAATTGGGTTTATCGATTTTGTTATCTTGACTATGCTTGGGGTTATCCTGAAGGTCAGTGTTGAGAATGGCCTTGACATTTCAAGTTGAAATAAACCTAAATCCGGTCATGGTGGCCCACATCTGTAATCCCAGCACCCTGCAGGCTGAGACAGAAGGATTGCTGTGAATTCTAGCTTAGACTGAGCAATCTAGTGAGTTACTCCCAGGCCAGTTTGGGCAGCAGACTGAGTGAGACCTTGCCTCAGCTGAGGTGCATCTCTGTGAGATCCTCTCACCGAGCACAATGTGAACCTCTCCTTCCCCAGTCCAGCCCCGACGTGGCAAGAGCTTGTCTGTCTCCTTTGCTTGCAGGCCGGAGGCTCGCAGGTCATCTTTACCAACCCACTGGAGATAGTGAAGATCCGCCTGCAGGTGGCGGGAGAAATCACCACGGGGCCCAGAGTCAGCGCTCTGAACGTGCTTCAGGACCTGGGACTCTTTGGGCTGTACAAGGTAGGTTGATTTCTTTGTCTAGCTGAGTGGAGAAGCCATAATACACAGTATAAACATGAAAGAACGCAGAAGCCAGATGACACTCCCATCCCCAACTTGAGAAGCAATCTTATCGGCAGTGTGACCTATGACCCAAATGAAGCCAGCGCCCTCGGGTAAAAATTGCGGATATACACAAGAGAGCTCCTGTGGTCAGATATGTGCAGGGCATCTCTTCCATGGAACAACTGGTTTCAGGCTCACAACCTTCATCCCATGGGGCCTCGAGAAGTTTCTGTGGTACTCAGGATGGGTTGGGGCTGCAGAGAAATCCTGTGCCTTTTCTGAGCTTTATTACGTTCTCGTCGTACCAGGAGGGGCTTCTCTTGTCTTAGTCTGACCATGGTTTAAAAAAAAAGATAGTAGAATTCGACAGGATTCGAGTCTTTAAGAAGTTAAGTGGGGGAATTTGTCAGTAATGAATTCCATTAAAAAACAACAGCGACCACTGTGCTTGCACAGGACGCAGTCAACGGGTTCCTCCCGGCGGGTACCCTCGCTGCCGTCACTGCTGATCAGGTGTAATGGAGCAGAAGCCGGCGGTTTTCTTTAGCGAGGAGAATTTTTCTTTCTGTTCCCTTCCCTGGTAGAAGGGGAGATGCGGAAATTTCACCCCTATGGGGGACTGTGTTTCCACAGCACTGAATTTATTTGTGGATCCATAACCGCTGAAATGTGTAAATTCACCTCTGCAACTGCAAATTAGAAATTAGGAACGTCTAGATTAGCGCTGCGCAGCCACAGGGTGCCCCGGAGCCTGGCTGCCAGGCTTGTCTGTCTTTACGGAGTGTCTCCACTCTGCTCCTTCCGCCCACCCTCTTCGCCATCCGTGGAGATTCCCTTGGAGGGCAGAATGTGTAAACATTGGTTCTGTCTGGATTACCCTATAAGAGTCCTTGGGTGTTTTCGTTTTTATAAAAACAGAGCCATCGGGGAATCCAGTGCTTGGGTTTAACATTTGTCTGTGAGGCAGAACTTCAGGCTGGGGCTGGCATGGGTCGCTGGCAACACTGAGGAAGGTGCTCGCTGCCCTCTCCGTGGCAGGGACAGGCTGTCTTGGGTGGAACTAAGACTTTAGGTTTTTCCTCTCCCTTCCTTAGGACAGTTGCCCTTCTCCATTGCCTCTGGCATTCCGCCTGGCACTCCCAAGGCTTGGAATTGATTGAGAATGATTTGGCAGTTAGTTAGGGTTTTTTTTTGGACGGGGGGGGGGCGCTTGGGAATCAAGCCATTCATTCTGGAATCTTATTCCTAACACTTTACTTCTTCCCCCTTCTACCCCATCCCCGCTCTAGTTCCCTAGCCCCACACGCAGCAGAGCTGAGCAGGCCAAGCAGCCTGGGAAGTTTGAGACTCCGTACGAATCCTAAGATGTTGCCTTGCTTAATGCACAGAAAGTTCCAGTTACACAGTGCCAAGTTGCAGAGACCTGCAGCAGAGTGCCCTTGGAGTTAACTGTACTGCGCTTTAGTGTGATCGCCACGACAGAAAACAAATGAAAACCTCAAACCCTAAGTCTAGCACTTCTAGAAATGCTAGAGAGCTCTCTGTTGCCAGAGTGCTGCAATCGCCAGGGTTAGCCTGGATACCCGGTTTCCTTCGGAAAGCTTTCCGTCACGCGTCCTTGCTCTGTACCGCTGTCCCCCGCCTAATTCCCCTCAAATCACTCCTAATGCTGTTTGAAGGACATCTCAGCTTGCTTGTCACCGGTGCCTGCCGGCTTCCTGTTCGGCCATTCAAACCCTGTTTACACACTGTTTCTCACTGTTTCCTCACCGTGTGACAGGGTGCCAAAGCGTGTTTCCTCCGAGACATTCCCTTCTCCGCCATCTACTTTCCTGTGTACGCTCACTGCAAACTCCTTCTGGCTGATGAGAGTGGACGCGTGGGAGGCATCAATCTCCTAGCGGCTGGAGCCATAGCAGGTAACCACGGACCCTTTTAAGACAAGAAATTCTCGTAAGAAGTATGGAGTCTCTGGCTTCGCCCTTTCTTTCTGGAAGTTATTGTTGGAATCTGACTTAGCTGGATAGAGCCGCCTTGGTTCCTTTGTTGGATATGCTAGGATTCTGATGAGAGTTAATTACATTTGCATAATGTGGATAAACAACTTAATGCAGCTTAGCAACTTGGAGCCAAATTAGATCTGCCCATCTAAATTGGGCTTTCATCATTAACACGGTTCTTAGCCTCCTGGGCTCCTGAAACCTTGGGTGCAGCCAACTAAGGTGGTTGAAGGTCTTTGGCAGATCAGTTTCTCCGCTGATCCAGTCAGTGCTGATGTTCAGGCCCTGCCTGCCCCTATACTTGTCCTGCGGAGAGGAACGTTCCTGTATTGGCTCAGAAGCTGAGCTTCACGAAGCTATCTCTCTTGCCCCCACAGCTCTCCTCAGACCAAAGCAGCACCCCGCCGCAAACTGCCCTCAGTCCTCAACTCTGTTTTCATCTTTTTTCTGACCTCAGCATTTGGTTTGGTTAATAGTTGCTTGAATTGGTTTCCTTCTCTAGTAGGCTGAGTGCTTCGGCGGGCAGGGCTTTCATCGCGTTCATCTGGCCTTCCTTGTAATAATAGTAGAGGCTCAGCTGATGGATTACATGAAGATCTTCATCTGGTCTAAGACACCAGAGGAGAGTCCATCAGGAAGAGGAGCATGGTAGTCAAAAAGGGCTCAATGTGCTCCTTCTGATTCACAGCAAGGGGGGTGTTTGAACGTGTCTGTGAGTGCATGTGCGCGCATGTGTATCTCCTTACTCTTAAGTTACCAGGAAACTAACTTGGAATAGAAAGGACCAACCAGGCACCCTTAGATGCAGTAGCACATTGAAATGACGGGGAAGGAAGAGGCCCGTCTGCCTTCTGCACAGTCAGTAATGAACCCACACAGAATCTAGCATGTCCAAGACTAGACTCCTGGTCCCTGCTTTATTTTATTTTACTTTTTCATTTGTTTATGTGGGGGGGGCAGAGATAGGCCCTATGAATTTAGTTCCAGGACAGCCAGAGCTATATAGTGAAAACCTGTCTCCAAAAAACAAAAATAAAAAAGGATTAATTTATTTTTATGTGTGTGTTTGCCTGCATGTATGTATATACACCACATGCATGCCTGTTGCTGGAAGAGACCAGAAGAGGGCATCAGATTCCCTAGAATTGGAACTACAGACAGTTATGAGTCATCATGGGTGCTGGGAATCAAACCCAGGTCCTCTAGAAGAGCAGTCAGCGCTCTGAACCACTGAGCCTCCTCTCCAGCCCCACTGCTTGGCTCTTAATTGCTAGCTTAGCCTCTTCTTCTGCTTGTGCTGAGTATGATGTTTTATCTTAGGAGCCCTGGGTTCTGAGAGTGTTGAAATGGATACATTGTTCTTGCAGTGATAACAAGGGAAAACTTGTTTTAATAAACAAAAACCAAGAAGACAGGACTTTGAGCCCTTACCTGGGGCCCAGCACATGCTTTGCCCCCCCCCCCCCCGACATGTGTGATCTCGGTTAGCCGAATGAGAATTCCTGGCCAGATCACCTGCTTAACCCGGCACAAGGGCCCCAGCTCCTTTCCTGTACTCAGCAGACTGTTATGAAGGGGGCAGCATCTTCCCTTCAAGTTTTTCCTTGTGTTTTCTAAATCATCAGCAAAGCCAGCCAGGGAAGTCTGTCTGGTCACTCACAGCCCAGCATCTGCCAGCAGCCAAAGAACCATGCAAGCAGTTCCTAGTCTCACCAGCTCCTTGCCTGTTGATATCTTCTGGGTTTTCAAAGAGGGGAGTTTTTCTAATTATTACCAGTCAAGCTTCAATAGCAGGTATTGGGAGGTCTGGAGAGCTGCTTCAGAAGGCAGGCAATTTACCCGGTGTATAGGGTGCAGGGTTGATCCTAGGGGAGCCTTGGCTTCATTCTCTAACCAAGCCCCCTCAGGACCACCAGCTCCATTTGCCTAGCGAAGAGACAGTGATATTTAGGCTAAATTGAATTCCTTCTCCCGTCCCCCCCCCCCCGCCCGGGGAAGGCCATGCTGCTCCTTCAAGGTCTGTTCTGTTTTATGAACAAAAGCTACACTTGAGAAATCCAGTCTTCTGTATCCTCCTCCTCCTCCTGCTGCTGCTGCTGCTACATCTCAGGTGACCCCAGGGAGCTGCAGCACAGGGGAGGAGGAGCGGCCTTTGGGTGGTTGGCTCGCAGGCTACTCTTTAACCGAAAGCCTGCCCTGCTCTCATTCAGGTTGTGATGACTTCTGTGGCCTGAGCAGGTCCAGAGGGAGGGCCAGTCACCTCTCTCTTAGCACCTCACACTGGCAAGTGTTTTGATGCTTTTCACACCCCTACAGTGTGTGGTTGGCAAGAGTCAACCAAGACCACTACGGTTTGGCACCACATATATTCCGTGGGTCATTAAATCGATGTCCTCTTTTATATTATACATGAAAATACTTGCGTCTTATTTAAAGATGAAAAATGTAAAAGTAGTTGAAACTGGAAAGGGAGCATGGGAACTGTCCTGTCGCTGTTATTACATTTATTATATTTTTCTCTCTCATAGTTCTTTGGGATGGTGCAATCAAGAGAGGTTTCTTTAATTCAGGCAGAAAAACAAAACATTTCTCCCTGATTCTGCTGAAGCAACTAGCAGGGTTGGGGACACTTCCTCTTTCCCTTGGTGCCTAGGAGCCTGTTTAAGGAACTTTGACTTTCCTTGTGGTCACAGTTGTGGATCGTCCTGTTGGATGAATGACATCCTGAGGATGAATTAAATGTGGTTTTCTCCTCCAAGGTGTGCCCGCTGCTTCTCTGGTGACCCCTGCTGATGTTATCAAGACAAGATTGCAAGTGGCTGCCCGGGCTGGCCAGACAACCTACAGCGGCGTCATCGACTGTTTCCGGAAGATTCTCCGGGAAGAAGGGCCATCAGCATTCTGGAAAGGGACTGCAGGTAGCTGCTGGGGGATCCTCCGGAGTGGCTGTCTTGCTTTCACGTCCTTCCCCTGTCTCTCAGTGGTAGCCTTGACACAGCCATCCCGGTGTTAAGTCTGCCCTACCCTGTCGGTCTTTTCCAGCGCGAGTGTTCCGGTCCTCCCCTCAGTTTGGCGTCACACTGGTCACCTATGAACTTCTGCAGCGGTGGTTCTACATCGATTTTGGAGGCCTGTAAGTGCATCTACTTCACCCAACCCAGACCAGTGCTTGCTCTGTTCACAGAGCCTTTTGGGGAATGCTGAGAAAATGGATGCTACCGAGTCCTTTAAAACCAGTGCATAGAAAGCAACGGCTTTAAAGGTTCCCATGTTAGAGTCAGACCTTATCAGAGTGACTCGGCAGAAAGTATTCAACAGCTATTAGGGACATTTTAGGGTGACATTAAATGGAAATGCTAGGTGAATAGTTGTCTTTTTTTTTTTCTAGTGAGATTGTGTCATTATTCGTTGGGTCGTTTAATATGGCCCAGAAACAACCCAGCATGCAGTAGCATGCTGCCGAGGTGACAGTTCCTCATTCCCCATCGTTTAGTCCCTAGATGTTCATACTGCTGGTTCACGCACATGGTTTCAAAGAGAAACAACGCCAATGGGTCAGTCCTGGTAGGGGGAGGACCCCAAACTGAGCTGCTCCAAGCTCAGCACTCAAAGTCTACCCCAGGGAGAAAGAAGAGCAATTGCTTGTTGAGTCTGCAAGGAAGTTGTATCCAAAGCAAGCAAGGAAGCAGTTACTAGCTGTTGGGGCCGAGGTGTGCGTACTGTCTGGAGACTCCATCTGTTAAGCTCGTGAGCGCCTCCCCTGCTGAAAGCCTTGGTAGGGAAAGAGCCCAACGTTGACCCAAGTAGTGGAGGGGCCGTCCATAGAAAAGATGCAGAAGCAGCAGTTCCGCCGTCCCCCTGCACAAACACCAGTATTTGGCTTTTCTGTAGCTTTAGAGACTGTGGAAGCAAGAACTAAATCTGTTTCTGCTTTGAAATTGTACCAACTTATATGCTTTTATGAAGATTTAATGCATGCCTCCTGCATTAAATTAGAAAACAGAAAAAGTCCACACAGAGCCAGCTTCCCAAAGAGTATTATTAACTGAGCGCATTTTCTTCTGATTGTCCTCTGAGAGTCAGCTCATGTACACATATAAACACTGAGGGTGGGGCCATTTTTCTTGTATATGAGATCTGTGAAGGCAATATTGTGATGAGGTTGGAAATCACAACTTTTTTTTTTTAAAAAAAAAAAAACATTTATTCTTTGGTTTTCCGAGACAGGATTTCTCTGTAGCTTTGGAACCTGCCCTGGTTCCTGCTCTTGTAGACCAGGCTGGCCTCAAACTCACAGAGATCCGCCCGCCTCTGCCTCCTGAGTACTGGGATTAAAGGTGTGCGCCACCACCGCCTGGCTGGAAATCACAATTTATGCAGAAGAGGTGATATGCAGAGAGCTGAGACAGCCTTCCTCATAGTGTGTGGGTGCCCCGACATCCATGCTCAATGTCAGCCGCCTCCGCCTTCATCAGCCCTGAGCTCTCTCTGCCTTTTCCGTGTCCACAGCAAACCTTCGGGCTCAGATCCGACACCGAAGTCCCGCATCGCAGACCTCCCTCCTGCCAACCCTGATCACATTGGTGGCTACAGACTTGCCACAGCCACGTTTGCTGGCATCGAAAACAAGTTCGGCCTTTACCTCCCCAAGTTTAAGTCTCCTAGTGTGGCCGTGGCTCAACCCAAGGCAGCGGCAGCAACTCAATGACGTGGCAACTGCAGACCGAGGCCCAGGAGAACGGCCGGTACCGCGTCCAGTCAGCTGCATCGTCCTGTCTGCGCTGGGGTCAACCACTTTCTATGCGACCTATACGTGTATTGTTTATAAAGCGATCATACGCCCAGGGAGAACCGCAGTGCAGTTTCAAGCTTTAGTCTTATCTGTTGAAATGTTTTCTGAGCCTTGGCATGAATTCCGTGTTCTAGACTCTGCTTCGCACAGCTTGTCCCTGCAGTGACTGTACATATTGTACATCTTTGTACAGAGACACCTTGGCACCTCATCCCAACAGATCACATTTATAGAAATGGTAAAGCAGTTCTCAGTGGCTTGAACTGTACAGAATGTTTTGAAAGTGTTTTATTAAGAATCATGTACGAATAAATGTACTAAAGCTAAATCCATTCTCCTCTTGGTGACTTGCGGAAGTCAGCTTCAGCGTTGAATATATCCGACTCCAGTTTCCATCCTGGAACAGGAAGGGGTTTGCTGATGACAGGCAGAACGAGATGATGCTCGAGGCATCGAGCAAGAGATGGTTTGAAACGGCGCATGCCGGTGGATGCCGGAGGACCAGCTGATGACTTGTGTGCGCCATGTGTTTCCAGTCATTTGTTGTGGAGTGCAAGCTTCCCGTTAACCGGAAGAGGCTGCTCCTGTCCTCACACACACGGCAGCAGGGTGGGCTCCAGCTCGGCTCCCTTAGTTTGCTTTCCTCCTGTGCAGCAAGGTAAAGGCTAAGATGTTGAAAGAGCAAAGTTTGGAAGTTTCCCTCCGTATGGTATGATACGAATCAAAAATAAATGCCCAGCAAAATGTCTGCATGTAGTCGGTTTCCTTCATCGGTGCCCTCATGGTGCTTTCTGTCTGAGTTGCTGACTCTAAGTGACAAGTGGCCGAACCTGTGCTCCTCCTACCTTAGGTAGACTCTGCTTTGGAGTGAGGGACATGAAGCAGAGCTCCTGGGTGGTGGTCTCGTGGGTCTGGATCTTCACAGGGAGTCCCCATGGAGACGGCTTACATCAGAGGGTCTCTCTCCCGGGGTCCACTTACTCACAATTACTTCCAAATGCTCCAACCACACTTCGCTATGGCTGTCCCTTGACAGGCAGTGACATCAGGACCTGTTTACTTTGGCAGAGTGTTCTAGGTAAACACGGCTGTGCCGGTGACCAGGATGTGAGGAGATATACAGATGTATGTAGGATTAAGGGAAAACCTGGAGATGACCCAAGTCACCCAGTGCCCTACTTAGTGCCCATCAATTGGGGGCTGACAGCCTTAGGCTGACAGTCCTAGGAACTCTGAGTCCGAGGAACAAAAGGTGTTTTAAAGCAGGCTCTTTTTCTCTTTCTTTCCTTCCTTCTTTCTTTACTTTCTTTCTTTGTCTTTTTCTTCTTTTTTTTTCTTTTTTTGAGACAGCATTTCTCTGTGTACCCTTGGCTGTCCTGGAACTAGCTTTGTAGACCAGGTTGGCCTGGAACTCACAGAGATCCACCTGCCTCTGCCTACCAAGTGCTGGGATTAAAGGCGTGCGCCACCACCATCTGACTAAAAGCAGGCTATTTCTAATGTGTTAGATTCATCTCTTTAGAATGGAACACATAGCATAACCACTTGGTACAATCACTCTTGCTATGCCTGCTAAAACTATACAAGAAGTCCATGGATGTGAAATTGCATATATAGTAATTACATAGACAGAGGAAGATGACAAAGTCCCCACTCCCTGCTCTTCAACTGCCACTCCCTGTCACTCCTTGCTAACAGGTTAGGGCATAGAGTTGTGACCCGTTTTCCATACATCTCCATCTGTACATATTTATATGTTTACAACTAGACTTAGGCAGTATATGTGGGATTCTGTGACTTTTCTTCATATGACTCTGAGGTCTTTCCACATTGGTTTATAAAAATGCATCCTGCTTCTGGCAGCGGCCCAGTATTTCACTGTAGGGATTATGAAGTCTTTAAAAACAATCCTATCATTGTTGCAAACAGCACTGTGGATCGAGGAGGACGCCTTTGTTTGTGTGTCGTGAGCAGCTATGCTGGTATTCATCAGGGGGCATTCGTTCATGAAGGAGATGACTTTTATACTTTTTATACATCTTGCCACATTGCTCTTCATGACCGTCTTATTCTCCTTTCTTTCATGGTGCCGAGGAGATTGCCCGTTTTGTAGGCAGACTGAAAACAGTGGTCACTGTTTATTTTTATTTTCCTATTTACGAATGGGCTTGAGTAAATGTCTCTTTAGTTTGTTTGGTTTGGTTTTTTTGAGACAGGGTCTCACTCTTGTAACTGTAGCGTCTGGGAACTCCCTTTGTAGATCAGGCTAGCTCTGAACCTGTACCAGTCTTTTGCCTCCCCTCCCAGGTGCAGGGATTTAGGTGTGGGTGGCCCTATCTGCTGTCTTCTAATCTTTGCTGGTCATCTGTGCTACATTCTTTCTATGAAATATGCAAAAGGCTGATGAAATGTATGTATGTATATACGTACGTACGTACGTAGGTACGTATGTAGGTATGTATATCCACACAGAAAATGTACATGCTTATGTTAAAATAAGTCATGTGGTGACCAGAACAAGAAGTAGAACGTACCCCACACCCCAGAGGTTACCATCCACTCCTCCATCCTTCCCCCTCCACTCCACCCCTGCCAGCCATTCCCTCATTTCTCTATGGTTTTACTGCTCACATTTACATCCCTAAATACTAGAGTCTCTGTCCTTCTTGAGACAAGATCTATTGTAGTCCAGGCTGGCATCCTACTTGTGATCCTCCTGCATCAGCCTTCACGGTGCTGAGATTTTAATAGGTCTGGGCTACTCAGCCTGACTATCTATCTATCTATCTATCTATCTATCTATCTATCTATCTATCTATCTATCTATCATCTATCACCTATCTATCTATCTATCTATCTATCTATCTATCATCTATCTATCACCTATCTATCTATCTATCTATCTATCTATCTATCTATCTATCTATCTATCTATCTATCATCTATCCATCTATCATCTATCTATATATCATCTGTCTATCTATCTATCTATCTATCTATCATCTATCTATCACCTATCTATCTATCTATCTATCATCTATCACCTATCTATCTATCATCTATCCATCTATCATCTCTCTCTATATATATATCATCTGTATATCTATCTATATATCCATCCATCATCCATCCATCTATCTATCAATCATGTGTGTGTGTGTGTGCACGCATGTGCACATATGTGTGAATACCGGTATGCAGGAGCCGCAGCACGTGTGTGGAGGTGAGAGGACAGCTGCTGAGACTCAGTTCTCTCCCTCCTCCATGTGGGATCTGGGGATTTGAACTCAGGCCGTCAGGTTTGTGTAGCAAGAGCTTTCACCCACTGAACCATCTTGCAAACCCCTGACCTATTCTTATTTTTGAAATTTGTTGGAACAAAATTATATGCCTTTGGGACTGCTTTTGCTGGACATGTTTGTGAGGTTCATCCCTGCCGTTCTGTGTAGGTAAGAGTTTGTTCATTTTATTGTATGGTTGCATTATGGTTCACTTCCTATTTTACTCTTGATTGGCATTTATTTTCCCAGTTTGTGATTCTTATAGACAACGCTGCTGTAGATAATGTGGCCGTCTATTCTGGAGTGTGCTTCTTTCTTTTTATTATCAATTATTAGTGTGTGGGGGGGTGTTTGCCTGTACTATGCATTTTTAAATGACACTGGAAACGGTACAGGGGTCGTCACTCATTTATTAAATCCTACTGAACTGTTCCCAAAGATTCTTGTTCTAAGTTACATTTTCCTCAGGTGGTTTGAGTTATTACTATCTTACTAAATTGGCAAGTATCTGGGTAATGGTGGCACATGCCTTTAATCCCAGCACTTAGGAGGCAGAGGCAGGCTAATCTCTGTGAATTCGAGGTCAGCCTGGTTTACAAGAGCTAGTTCCAGGTCAGGCACCAAAGCTACAGAGAAACCTTGTCTCGAAAAAATAAATAATTAATTAAATAAAATGGCAGATAAAAATCATGGTAGTTTTAAACAATTAATTAGAGACAAAGTCTCACTATGTAGTCCAGTCTGATCTGAAACCCACTACATGTACCAGGCTGCCTTGAACTCTCAGAGATCAGCCTGCCTCTGCCTCTGGAGTTCTGGGGTTCAAGGTGTACACTGCCACTCTTGGCTGTATAGTGGTTTTTAAGTGGCCTTTTCTTTATATGTTGGCCATTTGGAGTTCATCTTTGCTAGAAGTATGTGTTTCTTTGCCCAGCCTCATGAATTGGCAACCTGATGTTTTATTTTTCCCTTGAAAGATTTATCCTCTCCCCTGAGAACCCTCTGCGCTCTCTCTCTCTCTCTCTCTCTCTCTCTCTCTCTCTCTCTCTCTCTC